CAAAATTAACAATCAAAAAATGTCTGAAAAGCGTAAAGCAAGAGCAAAATAGAAATATAATAATGGATAATAATAGGTGTTACTTAATCAAAGCAAGTTTTAGCAGAGTTTGACAATCAAATAGCTTTTTATTTCATTCATTAATTGTAAAAGATTCTTTTTGCTTTGAATTTAATTATTAACATACACAGCACAGAAAATGTTCAGTGAAACAAAGCGTGCTTTTAACCTTTTATTTCCTGTTCATACTGGACAAAAAGCATTTCCTTGATCAAAATTTCATCCACTTCACTGGGAAGTTTCTCTTGTCTCCTTCGTTTCTTCAAGAATTTTTCAGAACGTTTTTTCCTCCCTAAAATAGATAATTAAAGAAAAAACAATGTAAATGAAATTGTTGAATTATTACTTATAACTTATAAAAATTCAGATGACTTAAAAAGTTTATTAAATCTAACCAATTATATACTTTTTCCCTTCATCAAAATTTCCTGCACCGATTTAAAAAATGTCAAAAGCCCCATTATTTTCAACATTACTTTCCAATAGGGAAATATTTATTGAAAAAGCTGGATGAAATAGTAATATGTTCACCAATATACTTACCTCTAAAATCTCCAGCTTCCTCTGCCAGCTCTCTTACTGTGGGTGCAAAGTGGAACTTATGCTTCTCAAAAATGGTTCTTATGTAAGGGTCCTTCATAAGGGGAAAGTCATTCATAAGTTGTACAATGGCACAGTTCTTGTAATTATCGCTCACTGGTTTCGCTTCATCATAGAAGTACGTCTGTGGATCATCAAACATCTGCAGAAATTCTTTGATATCAAAGTGAGATCTCATCTTTTCCAGCTGTTTTTTCTTGGCAAACTTTTTCTGTTTCTCTATGACATCTTTCAGCCGGGGAAAGTTTTTGGTTTCCAGCATCTGAGCTGCTAAATTTTTACTCCTTTCTGGGTCATTTTCCCTCATTATAAGTGCTTTAACTAAGTAGTCTGGGTCACAGTCTGGAAAAATTGCTTTTAATTCTTCTACCTCTATTTCAAGCCGAGTCTTTGGAGTATAATCAAAGACTGCTGGTGTATTATGACTTTTGTCTTCAGTACAATGATTAGTGCCTTTATCCTCACCTGAAGCTGTCCTTACATCATGCAGCATTTCAAAACTTTCTTCTGAATTTTGACTGCTCAATGGAGTAAGTTTCACATTTGTTCCTTCTTCATCTTGACTTCCACCCTGCATTCTCAAGAATTCTTCTGCTACAACCTGTATCCTGTTTGGATTTTGATGGTGGGCCTCCAAGTATGCATAGATTTCATTTCTGTCTTTGTCAGGGAACATGCGGGCAAGAAACTGCATGTCTGTGTATATGGGGTCATTATCAAATGTGACCTTCTCTTCTGCATGTCGACTCTTGCTGTTGCTTTCATTATTATCAACTGGGATCACCACTGACTGATTTTCAGAGTTACTAGTTTTTCTTGACTTAAGTTCATCAATGACATCTTTAGTTCTAGTATTAATATTGTTTTTCTCTTCTAGCAGCATAAAAATTTCATTAGGATCAACATTAGGGAACAGTTGGGAGATGTGACCAACGTCCTTCATAATATCATCACTCCCTTCATTTTCTTGTTCTTTTGACACTATTTCACTTTTCTCATCTTTTTCTTTATCACGTAGAGTATCAACCACAAACTGAACTCTGTTTTCTTTATGCAAATTTCTTTCTAGCAACTCAAACACTATATTTGGATCAACTGTCTTGCCAGGATGAAGTATGTGGATAACCTGCACGACTTTATGAACATCCTGCAATAAACAACTCTCTGTATCTTGGGTATCGTCTTTGGTCAAATCTATAAAACCTTCCTCCACCAATTCATTTGTGACAATATCAACACGGTGAGGCACTTTCCTATTCTGCTCCAATTTCTCATATATTATCTGTATTTCATCTCCTTTATTGAGTACTGAAGCAATCTGCTGTGCATCTCTAAAGACTGATGCTTCTTTGAAGATGGAAGGTCTGTCGAGGACTGGTTCACTGGAGACTGGTTTTAATGAATTTGATACTTCCTTTCTTTCAGTTTCTGTATCGCCTACTCTCCCATTTATAGAACCTGGAATATTGGCATCTGGAATGTCAGCACCTGTAGATGCTGAATCTATCTCATCTTTATCAGAATCAATTGGAAAATGTGGAGAATACTCTGGACTATAAGACAAAGTATATCTCAATGTCCCTTCAGTTTCCAAAGAACTACTTTCGTTTTCTGGACCTGTATCTTTTTGGTCAGGTTGAACACTGTTTTTAGAGCTTTCCACTTTATCTGTTGTCTCGTGTATGTGTCTGCTGTTCATAGACAAATCAGTGTTGTCACATCCGTCTTCACTATCACTGATACTGTGCAGTCTTCTTGGTTGCCGACTGACAAATTCCTCACTTTCTTCATCACTGCTTATGCTGTGGTAAAAAGCAGTCCTTGCTTTCTTGTTGTCACCTGACTCAATTGTTCCATTTATTTTTCTCTTTTTCCCTGTGCTACATGTGGGTCTATCATCTTCATTGACTGACTGACTCAATGTCTGACTTTCCATACTGATCAGGCCACTTTGCAGATACACCCTGTGGGAAAAAAATCTGACTTAATCAAATGTCAAAATTATAGTAATAAATATTAACACAAATATATCTACTCCAAACTGCTATAAATTGACCATCATTTTTTTTTTGGTAACTCAGTAAAATGTGCTTTAAAAATAAAACTCTGCAGTCTTCCCTTTTTTAAAGGACTATAGTCTCAGTGACTAACAGTCAGGGTCACTTAAGGTGGCGGGGTGAGTGAAAACGGGATTCTGAGTAAGGGGGGGGGGTCTAAATATTTTAGATTTTTATACTTCCGGACTTTCAACAATTACAGTCTTCATTACATGGCCCTATCGCAAATATGAACAAAAAGTCTATTTAAAAAAAGAAATATAAAAAATGACAATACCGGACTTGTTTGCTAGTACAGCACTACAGTACAATTGACAATTCGAGACCAAGAGTTCGAAACGACTTGACTCCAAGACAAATGTCATCTAATAGAAACAGGCTACGCAATTTCAGTCCAGACAGATTACCTTATTTCTTAGCTTTTCATGGCGTTAGGTCTATTTCGGACTTCCTGTCAAGGCGTATGGGCATAATAAGTGAGAGACGGGATCATGTAGATGCAGGTTTCGATTTTGACAGACAGTTCTTGCCTCGGCTTGTCGACTTCCTGTTTACGTCCCACTTCTCGCGAGAAGTGGGTCACAAAAACAGGAAGTAAACAAACGCACATGGTTTCTTTGACGGCAGTTGTCAAAATCAACGCCTTGGTTTAACTTTAAAGGGCCTTACTCTAGCTACCATATAAACTTATACTTACCGGCAAGTAGAGTAGAGCCCTACACTAAGGCAATCATAATATACTATCAGTCGGTGAATATGCATATATCCATCCTGTAAATTGTTGTAAAGTGAAAAACAGATATACAAGAAATCGCGTTTAATTTAATTAATATCAGTTACTTGAACCATTTCTTTCTTTGGCTGTCAAACATAAACTTAGAGAGTCATGGTTTGGTATATAAAAATTCATATTTGAAGGCATTCTTATTCAGTTAATTAGAGTGTCTGATGTGATGCAATGTCATTTTGATGACTTCTTCACTATTTGGATTTCCAGAAAGCCCATTATTTCTAGGCCATTTAAGTGAATGTATCATATTTCCCTATCCATCAAATGAATAACACCAGCTACACAATGGAGATAATGCCACATATTATTTGGGATAACTTATTTGTAGATATTCCATCTGCACCAATTAAGAGTGTCAATGATACTACATAGATAATTGAATAATAAGGCAATGGACATAATTCACATATAATCAAAGGGGTAATCCCAAAAGTCCTTTATCTTGAAAATAACTGAAGTCTGGTCAACATCCATATTTGTGATTACTGTCCATTTAAATAAGCCTTTGTCTACTAATCTAAATGACCACATTGCCGTATGGTATTTTATGTCTCAAGGGACAATGGACAAGATGTTGGCATGAAAATGACCATTTGGACAAAGAAGTCATAATTATGAAAGCAATGGTATCTAACGCCTCCAGTTTTTTGTCTTTATGATTTTGAAAAATAATTAGACATTGCTGACCAGTGGTTAAACTAGATAAATTCCCTATGGAAATAACCCTTCTGATATTCCCTTGCTGTGTGATAGGTTATCTTAAATTGAAAATGAAAAAAAAAAAAAAAAAATAATAATAATAATAATAATAATAAAAAAAGCATTGTTCAAAAGAAAAAATGTGCCAGACAGGTTATTTGCACATTAAGATAATGTTTCATATTTTCTTTTGTTTGATTTTTCAATACTTGACTCGAGAAGAACAAGCTTACATAAACTGTCATAACAATATGGAGAAATACACACATTTTACTGTTAAATATGTTAAAACAGTGTCACTGTTGGCTGTTACTATTAATTCAAACAAAATGCACATGGGTTTGAATCTTGAAGGAAATCAACAAATTGAAAAAAATCTAGTTAGATAGTTATTTTTCCAATCCATCTTTAGTTCTAATATAAGGCAACATCATGGTCCTCCTCCCCTTTCCCCTCTATCCTCAGTAGTATAATATGTATGTTACAGTTGCTGAAATGTTATGGATATTTAATGGATTCTTTTTGTGAAAAAAAATTCTGGAGGTAGGTGAAATTTTTACTTGTCCAAACCATGCTACCTGGATTACAAGATTGTTTTTTTTTTGACAATTTAAACATTTGCAAACTTTCAGTGTTTGTGGCTTTCTCATTGGAATAAACAATGTATTATTCTAAATATCCCATTGTGACACAATAAAAATGAAAGGTGGCTAATATCATAATTAGTTTATTTCGATGAAGTGTTTACTTCACTGAAACCACACACACCCAGTAAAAATGAGCCAAGGCATACATAAATATTTTAACATACATTTATTGTCAAGAAATAAAATGCAGTTCCAATATATTTTGAAGATTGTAAGTTGGCCACAAGTTTTACATATGTATCTTTAAATATCACATGCATAACCTGGATAAACATAGATTTACCAAAATAATACTATTTGAATTGAAGATTACACACAAGGGCAAATGCATGAGGATTAAATGACATCCTTCAGTATTTAGCAACATCAATATGATGAATTTTTATGTTATTTTCAACAATCAGTAAAATTCAGTACAACCTTTTCTATTTTAATCAATATGTTGCCAATGTAATGATACTTTCCACTTATTTACGCATCAACCTGAAATTACACAATTAAGTGACCTTGGGCTCTCTTCATAAAAAGTATGTAGTCAATTTTGGGCTGAAATTTTTACCTGCCAAGACTGACAAAGTTACATTTCACAAAGAATCTGGACACCACTAACTGCTTTAGGTCTTTTTACTAAGACCTTTCAGCAAATTGTGATTGCCTTGATTTAAGATGTTACTCTCACTGGTAATAATTCACATAGTGAGGATGATGACAAATTAGATTTGCTGTAGTTAACTTATTTTAGTAGTCAAAGCATAGAACAAGAACTTAGAACTTTTTGTGAAATAGGTCCACGTATTGCACTACATAAAATTATGATTATCCCATTGTGTTTGTTGAGAAATGGCATAATATTCTTCCCAGCTGGGGAAGAAAATTGTAACTTTATAAATTTTCTAAGGGATAAAGCAGATATCAGGAAAAATTTAAGACTACAATTCTTCTCAGTCTATAAAAGAGACTGTAAGGGCATTATCTTTCATCAGTGCACACAGTGTTTTCTCCGAAATTGCTCTCTCCTTAAAACTAAATTTAGTCTTCTTAAAATGTCCTTTAATCTTCCAGTCTTTTACACCCGTACTCGCACTTGGGATTCAAAATTTTCTGTCTCATTCCAAAGCCATCTAAAATGCAAATGAACTATTTTCATCTGAAAGCACACAGTGCATTAACTTGCAGTCATTCTTATAAACTACATTCAGAATAAATAAATAATGTCTTACTGTATGGTCCTGTATCTCAGCAACATGATGCCAAGAGCAGTGGTAAGAAAAAAAAACATTATAAAAACACCTGCACAATATTGCAATGTCTTTAACAAAGGTTTACTCATTTTTCTTATTTGGTAATGATAGATATCCACACCATAATGTTATTATAGTTAGCTAAAATCTGAGGACAAAAGTGTCTTTATGTGCACCATTCCCATTCTCCTCCCTTGGAAAACTATAAAGGTGTAATATACACTTTTTATGTAGTTCAATTGATATTCTAGCTAACTGGATTTCTTTTTCATGAAAAATTTCCAGTATATGACTCCTGCTAGAATAGCCAGCTCCACTAGAATTATCACAACTAATATCATCTTGTTTGTCATCACCCTGAAAGAAAACGACATCAGTAAATCAAGAATTCTTCTAAATAAATAAATCTAATTCTTTATCACCTATAAACCTTTCATATTTTCAAATACACCATAATTGGACTCTGTCTTATATCAATAAAATCATATTCCTGAAAGAACTTTAAGTCTTTAATAATTATGTCTATAAATAGGTCTTAGGGACTCCTACCTTCTTCCCATACTTTTCAGAATACTTCTACTTTTTGTTAAATTTTGTTGTGTATCAACAAGCTGTCAAGATAAAAGATATGATGATATTTAAAATTATAAAGAATGGAATCCAAACAAATAAATCATAATGAAAAGCCACAAATTATTTTAACGGTAAAATGAATGAGTCCTCCTTCAACAATAAATATGTTTTCTATGTAAAATTTATATTTCTTTCATATAATCAAGGATGTGGGTTACAATACAATGTAGCGTGCACCAACCCATTTAATTAATCAACAATATAACACAATTACTCACCCTATCTCTTGTTCGAAGCAAAGCCTCTCTCTGATTGGCTAGCTCCCCAACAGTATCCTCTGCTATCTGGTCCGTCTCTGCTGCTATCCTGTGTGACCGCGCTATGCTCTCTGTGCCTCTTTGGAGGGATTCAGTGCCTTGTACTAGCTTGGCCCTCTGGGAGGCAGCCATTGCCTGTTCAACGCAAAGGTTCATATGGATTTTAATATATATGAAACTATGCTTTTGATATACAAGGAAAAAATAGATCTAAAACCACATTCAGAAAAAGTTGATCCGCAGATAAAATATGGCCAATCCACTTGAAAACTTGCTGTATAATCCCTAAAAGATACTGAATAGAATTCCACAGTAAGCCTTCAAGTGGGTCGGCCATATTTGATCCACAGATCTGTTAGTGTGCATATCAACTTTGGTTGTGAATGCTGCCTTACACTGGACTTAACAAGTAATAAAACAATTCTATTCCAACAAAAATAGTCCATCTTTTAACCATAACCAACCTCCAAAATATTTTAATTTTTGTCTAAATAGTTACTTTAAAAACTTCATCTAGTAAGAAAACGTGATGCAATTGATTTACATACATCTAATTCATTTCTCCCTCCAAAGTCATCTCTGCTTCCAAAACCACTGGTATTTCTTTTCTGGAATACAAATTACTTTTTGTTTAATATATAATTATGAGACTACTATAGCAAGATTTAACATTGATAAACATTGGAATTAAATAGAATGTTGGTCAAATATTTCAATAAAAATCGTCATTTTGTCTGCAGCATGCCCAGATATATACGACACTTTGTAAAGTAAATTCTAGCATACCAGGTCCCTGGATAACTGATCGAGGTTTCTCCTGTAGTTCCTCAGCCTTCCCATCATGTCTGTTCTGTATGATATGGGTGCCATCTTGGCCTCCCTTTCCATTTCTTGGAGCTGAAATAAATTTTTAGCAAATCATATGAAAAAAAAAAGTTAAATATAATAATGATATCCCTGTACATGTACATGTATATATGTCAGTAATCATTCTGAAATAACTCAGTTTTTAATTTTAGAGTAAGTTTGCATATATTAAGAAACAATCAATGGAGAATGTTTTTCATTTTTATAAAAACACCAAGTAGCTTTTTTTTTCTTGTTAACTGTAATTCAGAATTGTCAAAAATCATATATCTACCAAAAATCCCTAAACAATAAACTTAGTTACAAACCAAAACATTCTCATCTTCAAATCCTCTCTCCACTTCACGTATTAACCGTTTTCTTTCCTCTGGAAAGATAAATAAACTAGAGGATCAGAGAGGCGATACCGCCTCCGGATATTGTACCACCAGCTGGAGTAAGCTCATTCGTATGGAAAACCAAAAAAAAAAAAAAAAAAAGNAGAAAATTTTGGCCCGTTTGACCTTGAAATAGAGGTCAAAAGTCAAATCTCAGGGCATATTTGGAATCTACACATATGACTTTCGGTCAGACTTCTGTAGTAATTTTTCCCATAATTCCTTTGGTTTGGGAGATATTTAGCATTGAATTTTCCAAAATTTTGACAAGGGTGCGCTTCAACGAGCGTCACGCCCAGGCCAAAGCACCAACTGAGACAAAAATACCAGGGGGTTCAAGTTGAGATTATATGTGACCTAAATCCAAGAGATGGGGACACGGGTCCTTGCGGTCTAGGAGGAGAAGCGGTAACGGTAACTTGTATCCCACGACACCCTGCGGAGCCAACGGAGCCGGCGGAGCTCACGGAGCCGGCGGAGCTTACGGAGCCGTACGAGACGGGTCGAGACTAAAACCATGAGTACCGCCAGCGTACACGCTGGTGGTACTAATAAAGTATATGTTAAGTTGACACTTTTATTTTATTTATTTATTTTAGTGGGGGTGGTATCCAGCATTGAGTCGTTATTAAACATTCAATATGCGTTTAATAGACTGGAAGCCTACAAGAAAATGCAACAATTAAAATTTCATGAAAACATCACTGTCAAGCCATTGTAAAACTACTGTGAACAGAAAACTAAAGCAAAAATCAAAGGTAAACAAGACTCTTGATACATACCTCCTACACTCCGGCCAATTTTCTCTCCTACTTTTAGCCTTAGATCATCATATACTGTTTGAAACTCTTCTTCTGCACGTTCAAACTTTTCAGAAGACATTTTTGACAGTATATCTGATCACAGCATTATCACGATGGGATTTTTTAAAGTCACACAGATTTTGTCACATGAGCTGTCTTCTTAAAAACTCAAATCTGCTCTCCTAATTGTGAAGAGCTTCAATTAATGTTATGACAGCCACATTTATTCACGAACAGACATAGTCTTTTCATTTTGCACACTTCTTTTAAACCAGCTCACCAAAATTTGACTATTAAGATGTTTGATGCGAGCAACGTTAGATTTTTTTGCATTTTTATTATTTTCTGGGTGGAGATTATCTTGCAACTCCCCGGATGTCAGCAGACCTCTCGCCATTTTCAGCGGTGATTCCATTGAGTGAGGAAGGCGGTACCGGTGCCCGCTTTCTATTGAAGATCCTCTGCTTTTGCTGGACTGTCAGCCTCATTCACCATGGCTGACAGTGGCAGCGAAGCTGAGGCACAGTCTCAAAATGTGCAGACTGTCGCCGATGTATCCGTTTTTGCAAATTATTTACGCAGAGCAATCCCTGTTATGCTGGAAGATGGAGACGACACTCCCAAAGCTTTGCACGATGCTTTGAAAGAAAAGAACAAACTTGAGGCCATCAGGAAGTTTTTGAGTGACTCGCAAGTACCTGCTCTTTTAATACAGAGGTGCAGTAATAAGGGTAAGACAGTGCATTCGACTTGTCAGTGCTCTGATTCGAGGTAAAAATCGATTCCGCCATCTTCGTTTATAATCTATTATCATAATGTTGGATGAGTCATCGATCGATGACATCATGTTCGATAAAAATGTCTACATTTTAGATATAGATAGCATGCTTTGAATAAAAGAAGTGGAAGTTATTTTGTAGCATATTGGGAATAGATTATTACAAAATATGAAACAAGTTCCAACTTTTTCGTATTTGTCCCAAGAAATGTACAAATTCACCAATTTAGCATTTGCATTAATATTTTACCCCATTAGTATAATAAATATACAAGTGCCCTCTTACAGATACTGGAAATGCAACAACACTCTTGTGGTGACTTGACACTTGGCACCTCTAAGTTGCAAAACACAAATGAAATCTATGATTTAATTTATTTTGAAACTCCAATGATTTGACTTCCAGATGAGGTTGGTGGAGAGGGTGAGGGGGATGTGGAGGAGGTGATCACCTATGATATTGCCTCAGATGTCCATTTTACCAGTGCAAGAATGGCAAGGTAAAGTGCAAACCCAGGATCTGCTACATTCTCTGGCTTCTCGCAATTATTATTTTAAAATGTTGTACATATAAGAATATTTGGAGTCATTATTATAAAAAAAATTATTGAATATGCACAGTTTCAGGTAAAATTACTCGGTATATGTATATTTTGCAGTGTGGTCATCATCAAGCGTGGCACTATCATTGAAGCTGATAAAAGCATAGCATCCCAGATAAGGTTGATGAGTCTTAGTGATGGCTCAGCATATGAGACCCTCCACTCCTTTGTTGCCAATGCAGTGGCACCTTTCTTCAAGTCATTTGTGAAGGAGTCTGGTAAAGGAGAGAGGTATGTTTGATTGTTTTCTTTTATTTTGAGATACAGAATGCATTGCCTCAGTGCATTTGGAAACAAAATTTTGCATTTTAAAACTGGTTTAGAATTCACTTTGGCCAGGTAGTCATTTATAAGAATTCGCTTACCATATTGTAGCAATTTGAGAAAAATGAAAAAAGAAGAGATAATTGTATGAAAAGAAACAAATTTTATAAGGATTTATTTTGTGAAATTTATTGATCATGAACATATTTTTATGATTTTATAATAATCTTTTATTTCACTCCCTATTTTAGGGATGGTGACAAGATGGCCCCATCAGTAGAGAAGAAACTGGCAGAGCTAGAGATGGGTCTGTTACACCTCCAACAAAACATAGACATCCCTGAGATCACTCTCACTGTCCACCCCACAGTGGGCTCTGTCATCAAGAAGGCTGCAGATGAGAGAAGAAAGCCATCAGTGAATGATTTTGGAGATAAGATAGAAGATGCACAGTTCCTGAATGCATTGCAAGGCGGTGTGGGACGCTGGATTAGGGAGATACAAAAAGTAAGCCAACTTCTATGCTGTCTCTCTTTGGATTAAACTTTGCACAGGATGAAAGAAGAAAACTTCACTATATTTGATACCAATGTTTTGTTGATGCTTTCTTTACACCAAAATGGTTAAATTGATAATCAGCGTGAATCAGTATAAATTTTTTTCACACTTCAGCTACATACCATGATCTGTTTTCATGCTATTTTTATCATCCTCCATTAAAACATGTTATGTGTCAAGTATCACTAAATTGAATTGGTTCACCACAAATATTACATGCACTTATTAATAAATATTTCCCTAATTAGGTCACCAAACTGGACCGTGATCCAGCCTCTGGTACAGCCCTACAAGAGATCACCTTCTGGCTCAACCTGGAGAGAGCCCTGCTGCGCATCCAAGAGAAGCGAGAGAGCCCAGAGATAGCCCTGACTCTGGATGTCTTGAAACATGGGAAGAGGTTTATCGCCACAGTTGGTTTTGATACAGACACAGGTCAGTACATATTCAGTTGTAGTTGGATGATGGAATTTTTCATAAGTGAATTTGGTACAGAATTTTGAAAGGAGATGAATGTCTTTTATTCAGTTTTATTGGATCTCAAAGCTTACTCTTTACCAATGAATATATTGAAAATGAATTCTTCATTTTTCCCAGGCCTGAAGCAGGCTCTGGACACAGTCAATGACTACAACCCACTGATGAAGGACTTCCCCCTGAATGACCTGCTATCAGCCACAGAGCTGGACAGGATCAGAGCAGCTCTACAGGCCATCTTCACACACCTGAGGAAGATCAGAAACACTAAGTACCCCATACAGAGAGCTCTGCGCCTTGTGGAGGCCATATCCAGGGATCTCAGCACACAGTTGTTGAAGGTTTGTTGAATTTTTTGTGTTGTTATTGACTGAGTCTTTATTTTCTTGTAATGCTACAAAACTCTGTTATGTAGACAAGAAATCCCATAATGCAAAAAAAAAAAAAAAAAAAAAAAAAACTCTTACTAGCTGCTGAGAATGCTTTCAGATGGAGTTTCAATAGTAATTCTAATTCTTTTCTTTTTAAGGTTCTTGGTACAAGAAGACTGATGCATATCCCATTTGATGAGTTTGAGAAGGTAAGAAATTATTGAATATGCTGGCTAACGTATGGAAGTAAGGGCCACTCTTCTTAATTTCTCAGGGAAATGATTTGGTCATGTTAGTCCACTTACAACTCAAACACAGATATTTCAAAGACGAGAAATTCTGGTATGCTATAAAAAATTCCAAAAATTAAGAGTAGTGGTTGGGAGAAAACCATGAATGGATTCATTGTGTACTACTTTACCAGTGTTTGTGAGTTATGTGAAGATCCAGTGGCAGTGGAAGTTGTTATAGATTTTGTGTATAAAGCATATTTGCTGCATGTACATTATAATATAGTTATCTGTAGTGTTTTATTATAAGCTCTGTGTACATTGTTACAACACCTTAACAGATGATAAACTATTACTATTACTACAGTTGTATATATCATAATTCTAGGTGATGGGAGCGTGCTTTGAGGTGTTCAGCACCTGGGATGATGAATATGACAAGCTGCAGGGCCTGCTGAGAGATATAGTGAAGAAGAAGAGAGAAGAACACCTGAAGATGGTCTGGAGGGTGAACCCCGCCCACAAGAGGCTGCAGGCCAGGCTGGATCAGATGAGGAAGTGAGAGGGCCTTGATTTTGTTGAAAATTTTGAAAGATGTTTAGGTTTAGAAGGATCACTTATGAGCTTTTTTGATTTTTGTTTGTTAGTCGATAGAAATTGTGGAAGAAGATAATGACCTCATCCTAAAAAAACACTAAGATTGCCTAAACAGAAATAAATGAAAAAAAAAGAAACAATAAACGTAAACACAATTTCAATGATTTTTAACTAAATTTAAAAAAATATATATAAATTAAGATTTTTAAACAAAATTATGTTCCTCTACTAGCATGAAAGAAAGATTGATAATTGAAAAACATTTTTTTCCAAGGTTCCGTCGCCAGCACGAGCAGCTACGCCAGGTGATAGTGCGTGTACTGCGCCCTACGACCACGAAGAGAGCTGGCACACCAACCAGTGATGAAGTGGACAACAAGATTACTGACATGCCAGCTCTGGATGCTGCTGATGCCAATGCTATAGAGGTGGGCTGAATTGTCTTATTATCTACTTTTCTGTGAGCTGTTTTCTCTGATACATACATAGTTTTCTTCAAAACAACAGCAAAGACATTGAAAAAATTCCAGCACATAAATACAGCTAATGAAAATATTAGCATGTTTTATTTGGTTATTATGAAGCATGGAGATAAATCAAAATTGCTTTTAGTCAAAGGCATAAAATTAAGATAATATGTGAATACATATGTCAACTACATTAGTATGCTTGATAAAGTGGATAGTGAAATTGTTTTAAAAAGTATATAATAAAGATAACTCTCTTAAATTTGTAAACTTTACATCGCTAAACATATTGAGAGACTGTGGATCAAACCATCTTTGGTAGTTTTTCATGCTAAAAAATTCGATAATGTTATTTTTCTACCCTTAATATTTATATATGTTTGCGTTATAGGAGGTAAACCTTGCTTACGAGAATGTGAAAGAAGTGGATGGACTAGATGTGTCAAAAGAAGGTACAGATTCTTGGGAGGCAGCTATCAAAAGGTAGAAAATGTTGACAGTTGTCTGATTCATTATGATTGTAAATGTAAGGTATGTAGATATTAGCCATATAATGGTAATCAATCACAAAATTTAATTTCTTTTGAAGCAAATATCACCCCTGTCTTTAGGTTTTCTACTTTAAAGAAAATGACAGGGTTTGGAAGTTGCCTCTGACATATCCAGTCTCAGTGATATTGTTGCAAGCAGTTTTCTCTTTCTTAAATAAATATTAAGACTTTTTGCCATATTAAATGGTATTTTCCTTACAGATATGATGAACGCATTGACCGTGTAGAAACCAGAATCACAGCTCGGTTGAGAGATCAGCTAGGAACAGCAAAGAATGCCAACGAGATGTTCCGCATCTTTTCTCGCTTCAATGCCCTCTTTGTGCGCCCTCATATCCGTGGAGCCATCCGTGAATATCAGACACAACTCATACAGAGAGTGAAGGATGACATTGAATCACTGCATGAGAAATTCAAAGTAAGATTTAATGGAAAGAAGGGCACTCCTACATAACTAAATAGATTTTGTAAAAGTCTGTGTACTATTGATAATGATCTAGAATATATATTTTACATTTGCAATCTTTTAAATAGAATATTGGACTTTCCTTACAAAGTTGTTAAAATTAAGTCTTAAAAAATTTATTAGCCATGTCTGTCTACCATATCAGACCTACAGAATTTTAATCCTTGAAGGCCTTTGGATTCAGATATCAGTTTTTTCTGTCTGCATTTTTTTTCTCTTATGAAATATTAATTTTTTAACTTCCTCATATTTCCAGGTACAGTATGTGCAGAGCAAGGCATGTAGGATGAGCCGTGTGAGGGACCTCCCACCTGTGTCTGGGTCCATCATCTGGGCTAGACAGGTAATGCAAAATTTGAAGTTCTCTTTTGAAATTCATTCGTGTTGTGTTTCTTTTAAAATGTCTTGATTCCTGAAATATTGAATCAGAGGTATGTACCTTATGTTATCAAATTTTACATTTGTACACTTCTCTTCCACTTGTCTGATATAAATTAGAATTAAATTTTGCTTTTTACAATGCTCCTTCTGATATAAGATCTCAGTTCTAAGACTGTATTGCTCTATTTTATACTCTTTCATTCTATTATAAGTAATAAATATTGCACTTGATCTTCTGTAGATTGAGCGCCAGCTGAATGCATACATGCGCCGCGTGGAGGACGTGCTGGGTAAGGGTTGGGAGCAGCACGTGGAGGGACAGAAGCTGAAGGCAGATGGAGACAGCTTTAAGATGAAGTTGAACACACAGGATGTCTTTGATGACTGGGCTAGAAAGGTGGGTGCTACGGCTAAAATTGGAAGTAAGGCTGTTTGGATAAGAAAGTTGATAAATAAAGTTGGAAGTATGTGCATAGTCTGTAAAAGATGCATACTTTTATAAGTCAAGTTCGTATTACATTAGTATAATTTGTAACTTGCGAATGTCTCAGGTTTGTGTAAATCGCCATTACAAGACAATGTTTTTCAGATAAATTCATTTATCTGTCTATTTAAAATATTAGGTGAATTGTTTGAAAAGTGACGTTCTTTTTCACTTGTACAAGTCCACATGCTGCCATCTATTAAATAATAATATAATGTACTCTGTAGGTGGCAGAGCGTAACTTAGGTGTCTCGGGAAGAATCTTCGCCATAGAGAGCACCAGGTCCAAGTCAGGCAAGGGCAACATCCTGAAGCTGAAGGTGAACTTCCACCCAGAGATCATCACACTGTCTAAAGAGGTGAGTTCAGTGAACCTATGAGATGATACAGAAACAACAATGTAAAATATGTTTCAGGCACCAGATCTGTTATGCAATATTATGTGGCACAGATGTGGAATATTTTAATTTTTTTTCTGAAAAACTTCACATGAGAAAACGAGAATAGGAAGAACTTTTCATATATTAAACGAGATTAACAATCAGTATTCAAATAAGTTCATAAGGAATTAATAGCAAGAAGGGAGTCCAAAGGATTCATAATATAAACCATCCTCTTCTTTTCAAAATCTCCATATTTTTCACCAGGTGCGTAACCTGAAATGGCTTGGTTTCCGTGTCCCCCTGGCCATAGTGAACAAGGCCCACCAGGCCAACCAGCTGTATCCCTATGCCATCTCCCTGATAGAGAGTGTCAGGAGCTATGAGAGGACATGTGAGAAGGTGGAGGAGAAGAGCAGTATCTCACTGCTGGTGGCTGGCATGAGGAAGGAAGTCCAGACCTTGATTAGTGAGGTGAGGATGGGTGCTGGGATATTTCTCAGTTTTAAAAAAATACTGTTTGGGGCTCACTGTAAAAATTTGTTTCAACCAGTTAGCTGACAGTCAAATCATAATTTAATTAGCAAGCTTATAAATTAGTAAACGGTGAAATAGTCTTCTATCATCTAGCCAAAATAATGTTTATCCTTAAGATTAGCATTAAAAATATTTCATAACATATATACATATAACAATAATTGTAATAAATTGTATTTGAAATATGAATGCTAGTTTATTTATAAACAATGCATCTCTGTTCAACAACATCAAAATGACTTTAAAGCACATTTTGTTCATAATTTGTTTCTGTTATTTTGATTATTTAAGTTGATAATTTGAATTGTGTGTTAATATGGCATTTTCTTGTTTCCTTATTCAGTAGATATTTAATCTAATAACTTGTCTTCATGCTAATTTTCTCTTTTCCTGTATTTCAGGGCATCAACCTGGTATGGGAGTCCTACAAACTGGATCCATATGTACAGAGACTGGCAGAAAATGTCTTCAACTTCCAGGAAAAGGTAGGCAAGAATTGGATTAGAAATAGAGCCTGCTATATTGTATTTGCTTAGCATATTAGAAATAAGTCTTGGTTTTCATTAAGGTTAAAGACCGTTGTCATACTTTTATGATAAAAAGGCCAGTGAAAATTGTTTATTGTGCTAAGGCACTTCCAACAGCTTTACAGTCAGGGTGAAAGTAAAAGGGTAAGTTGTGAGGATATTATGACCGCCTCCCCAGCAGTTGAAGGATCAATTCTCTTCATACATTACTTTGTTTTCTCTTTGTGTTAATATCTCTAAGTTTATGACTTGCTTTAAGTTTATAAATTATGGCTTTCGTTAAACTGATAGATGAAGACATCTTGCAGCCACTATTCACTTCACTTAACACACTGCGTTTTCTTTATGTAGGTTGATGACTTGCTGGCATCTATTGAGCTGATAGACATAGAGATCCGGAGCTTGGAGATGTGTGCCTACAATGCCAACACTTTCAGTGATATCCTGGGCAAGATCCAGAAGGCTGTGGATGACCTCAGTCTGCACAACTACTCCAACCTGCCTCAGTGGGTTAACAAACTGGACCAGATGGTAAGGGTGAAAAAAGAAAAGAAAGAAAATGTGTTTATGGATATGGGGTTCAGTTAGTAAAATTAGATAGAATACTTGGTTTAATATCTTTGAAACAGTTAGCGATTTTTGAAGGTACAAAATATAACAGATGTCAGGTAAGAATTGTACTGCCATACAAATTTCAGTATATCAATAATTGGTAACTTGGTAACTCATTTTTGAGCTCAGTGAAGTTGTTTTTTTATGTCCTGATTAGAAAACCACAGTCCACATTTTCAGTCTATTTATTAAATTACATATTCTGTTCAATGCATTTAGATCTTTCATTCACTTCTGTGTATTCCGTCTCCCCAAAGGTGGAGCAGGTGCTTGCTGCCCGTCTTCAGGCTGGCCTTCATGCCTGGAGAGATGCTCTAGAGGGGAAGGTGGACCAGGAGATGGACCTCAGCATGGACACTGATGCCCCAACACAGGTGACCAATAAACCTGGAGGAGACCCACAGATCAAGGTGAGATATAGCTTAAATATTATATAAGGTTTTCAACTAGATCCTTCTGTTTAACCATTTTGGGAAGTTGAAACTCAAAACTGTGAATTTGGCTAAGACAAATTTGGCTAAGAAAAATTTCATTTTTCTCAGCCATAGTCAACTCTCTCTGGTATTTTGTTTATAATTCATATGCTAGAAAGAGCCTAGCTTTTTGTCACATACTGTTGATTAATTTTCATATAATTGGATGTTAGTATCATCTTGGCAATTTACAGGGTTTGGTACTTTATAGTGAAATGTAGCTAAATTTTTATTTATCAATATCATAACGATGTTTTCATCAGAAACTTAATCGGTGTAATTAAGACATGCACATGATTATATGTTATCTGCATTATGTATTCCAGCCCATTGTCCATGAGCTCCGTATCACCAACCAACTGATGTACCTGGTACCTCCCATTGAAGAGGCCCGCTCCCACATCATGCATGAGATGTTTGAGTGGGAGGCTGTCATCACTTCACAGAATAGAATTCAGCACTCCAGATACCAGGTAAGCTTAGGGAAACAACTGTGACATTCTGTTGATATTTAGCCTGCTGCCCCTTTGGACCACCAGGGTCTAATTAGAATCTATTTGTTCTTAGTTGTTCCTAAGTAGAAACAGTGGTCAATAACCATGCCTGAAACTGTCTTTTCTTTTGCCCAGGTTGGCTTAGATGTGAGCTCAGAAGGAGAAACCACATACCGTAGCCTGCTGACCAAGCTACCAGAGGGCTCTGGTGTGCTGGAGAAGACATATGAGTCCATTGATACCATCTTCAAAGAGGCAATGGAGTATGTTGGGGTAAGCAAGTCTGGATACTTTTCTGTCTCTGTATAAGATGTTGATTAGACTAGTTTAAGATCATGATTGAACTATATTGTACAAGTAGATGTGAAAACCATCTTCAAAGAAGCAATGGAGTATGCAAGCTAAGTGAGTGTAAGAAATTCTTACAAAATACCAGTTTGAGTACATTTTAAGAAGTTTATTTTTACGTTGCTTAACACAGATAAATTTTATTTGAATTGAACAGTTCTATTGCTTCTACAAATGTTGTATTTCGTTCAAGGTGTGGCTGCGTTACCAGGCCCTGTGGGATCTTCAGGGAGATGCTCTGTACAACAGACTGGGAGACAACTTGAAAGTCTGGATGTCCACCCTGGAGAATATCAAGTAAGTCGGGAATAGTTATGATGTACATGCTTTCAAGAATGTATTACCAAGAATGTACAACCAAAATCTCCTTGTAAAAATTTGCCCTACAGTGGATCTATTCACATGTGGGGTTCGTTTTTGGTACCTGTAAACTCCTGAAGATTTGATATTTTACACAGAAGTGTGATTTAACATTGTTTTGGTAATGCATTCTTGATACTTTCTTCTTGAGATAGGATGTTTAGAACAGTTGTAGTTTATAGTGGTGTGCATAAGCTATGGCAAATGTGTGTATGTGTTTATCATGAGAAGGGTTGATTAATAATCTGCAATTTTTAGTAGTGATGATGAAAATGATGAGTAATTTGTTTTCTCTCTTTCTCAGGGCTTCTAGGAAAACCTTTGATACCTCTGAGACCAAGCAGATCATTGGCCCTATCACTGTAGAGTATGGCAAGGTGAGATGGTACAGTGGTTGTAACTAAATACCTCAATTAATGGTGTGATGGAATATTTGTCAATTTATGAAGTAATTGAATGAATCTCACCTTTAAAGCAATAGTCTAATTTCAGTTAAACAATTCAAGCTTACAGAAAACTTATATGTTATGGTAGTATGGATATTAGACAACAATATTATCTGTCTTCAGGTCCAGTCCAAGGTGTCTCTGAAGTATGACTCCTGGCACAAGGAGGTCCTCAGCAAGTTTGGCTCTCTGCTGGGTGATCAGATGTCCGAGTTCCATGGAACTGTGTCAAAGGTAGGCAACAGTGACATCTATGGGAAGGTTTGATAACTAATTTATAGATATTTGCTATGAAGTAGGATTGTGTACAATATCCTGATCCTGCGAAGGATAGAGTTGAGGTATACTCAGTATGATTAACTTTGTACATTTACTGCCGCTTAAGCCTTTGTAATATAGACCTGCAGTGAGTATCATTCTTCTCAGTAGGTTAACAGCAAAGATGAATATTTTCCATCCAGCCCCACCTACATATTTGTGTGGATATTTCAGTACATCAATGTTGTAATATCTTTTCTTGTTTCAGTCCCGCACAGACTTGGAGGAGCAGTCCCTTGATACATCCACCACTGCGGACGCTGTCCAGCTGATCACCTATGTCCAGTCTCTGAAGAGAAAGATGAAGAACTGGGAGAAACAAGTTGGGGTATGTTGGGACAACCTGGACAGTTGCAAAGCATATATCTTATATCTTTTCTTATTGCAGTTATGCATATGACATGCTTGATTAAGTACAAGTCCTCTTTATCACTGTAAGTAGCCAAACTTATGAATAACAATCAGAAATTTGGCAGACAGCTAGGGAATTTTTGGGGGTCAAGAAAGGTTTTAAACACGTGCATTATTTAATTGTTATGCTTTCAAGCTAAACTTTTATGGTTTTTTCATGAAGTATGACATGAATATGATGTCTGCTGGGTGGAAAATCTTAATACCAATGTGTTTGTATTGCTCTGCCTGAATATTTTTGCACTGTCTATGTGTTTCAGGTGTACAAAGAAGGTCAGCGCCTGTTGGAGCGGCAGCGTTTCCAGTTCCCTAGCACCTGGCTGTACAGTGATAACATAGATGGAGAGTGGGGTGCCTTCAACGATATCCTGAAGAGAAAGGACTCCTCCATCCAGACCCAGGTGGCCAGCCTACAGATGAAGATTGTCTCCGAGGACAAACTGGTGGAAAACAAAACCATTGAACTGCTGTCAGAGTGGGAGAAAGAGAAGCCCATTGAGGTAATTGTCTATTTTTTAACTTTAAAAAATGTTGTTAAGTAAAATGTTTCATGGAAATGTATGTTGTTGCAAGTTTTGACTAACATGAGAAAGCAAATGAAAATGGATGACTTAAGATATGAGATTTTATGCTTTTCTATAAGGATTTTCTGTTCTGGTCTTGTGCTTAAATTTTACTTTTTAATTTATCATGGAACTAATAGATATTTTATAACTTAGTTGATGATAATTAATTCAATTTTTTATATTTGTAGGGTTCTCTGAAACCAGATGTGGCCACAAACTCCTTGGCCATCTTTGAAGGCAAGATCATGAGACTGAAGGAAGAGAGAGACAATGTCACCAAGGCCAAGGAAGCCTTGGAGCTGGCAGAACCAGGTAAAGTACAGATCCTGTCTCTGTGAGAGCAGTTCATTTGGAGAACTATTACTAGATTTTGACTCCTTTTTTATTAATAGTGAAATATATAAGCTTAAAAAATGAGTCATCCCTTAAACAGTCAGTAAAATGAACCTGTTGAAACTTCAGTTCACATGAATTGGCACATAATTATGTAATCTTTTACACTTATTTTTGCAGCTTTATTATTTGCAATATTTAGAATAGAAACTTCTCTACAAAAATTATTTTTGTCATATTTAGAGTAGAAATTTTTCTATAAAAATACCTGTCTCCCACAGGTGTACTGAGCCCCACAGAGGACCGTATGCAGGTGGCGCTGGAGGAGCTCCATGACCTGAAGGGGGTGTGGGCAGAGCTGTCTAAGATCTGGGAACAGGTTGATGACATGAAGGAGAAACCCTGGATGTCTGTGCAGCCTAGGAAGG